GAGCTTCTCCCCGCCCGGCCTGGGCCCCGGGAGCCGGGCCGCGGGGAGCGCGGGGCTGCCCGACCGGGCAGCGGGGATCGTGCGGGGGGCTCCGGGCTCGCCCCGGGGTGAAAGCGAGACCCCGTCCCGGCGCCGGCGGGGCTGTGAGCCCGGCGGGAGCTGGCATCGCCCCCTTGGGTTGTTTTCCTCCTGCTGCCTCGGGATCCTCCTCCGGCCCCAGCTTCCCTCCCTCGCCGTCGAGTAGCGCAGGTGCGTGCCCCGGGCTTTGCTCCCTGTCATGCTGCCTTCTCAAGCCCCTTTCTCCTGGGGCATGGGCGCCCCCCTTTTCTCCGTGCATCTGACCTGTTAGCTGGGAATGTGCCCCCCAACTTCAGCTTGGTGTCTTGTCCTGAACAGGCTCTGGCCACCCCCCGCCCCGTGTCTGTGCAGCCCCTCCCCGCTTCCGAAGGGACCCCCGGGAGAGCGAGCACGCTGCACCCCGCAGAGATTTCCCTCCCGGCCCTGGCTGCCCTCCAAGCCGTGGGGAGGAAGGTGGATTCTCAGGCTGCACAGTTGCTGAATCTGGACGGGAGAATGGGGACGGCTGAGAAGAAACTAGTCGGCTGTGAGAAAACAATGGTGGAGTTTGGGAACCAGCTGGAGAGTAAATGGGCCGCGCTGGGAACTCTGATCCAGGAGAATAATCTGTTGCAGAGGAGGCTGGAGAACATGGAGAACCTGCTGAGGAACAGGAACTTCTGCATCCTGAGGCTCCCCCCAGGCACTAAGGAGGAAGTTCCTAAGGTAACTGTCTGTCTAGGGACCTCTGTTGTCTCATCACTGTAGTATCTGAGGCCCAGATCCTCAAAGGTATTTAGGCCCCGAGTGCGACTATCCCAGCTCGCAATGAGGAGCAGAAGTAAAGCTTGGTGCTGGGTCACCTTTTGACAAGTATCAGGGGGTAGCCGTGTTAATCTGTATCTACACAAACAACAAGGAGTCTGGTGGCACCTTAAAGACTAACCGATTTATTTGGGCATAAGCTTTTGTGGGTAAAAACCTCTGAAGAAGTGAGGTTTTTACCCATGAAAGCTTATGCCCAAATAAATCTGTTAGTCTTTAAGGTGTCACCTTTTGACAGGATCTTTAATATTCCCATGGTCTCTGCACCATCCTGGAACAGTCTGACTTGGGAGTGTGATGGGGTGAGGTAAACACCTGCCTAGTGTTTGATTGACGGGCCTGGTTTATCGTTCTCTGCCATTACTCTTATGATCTCCAAAATGCTTTTCCAATTGGCTGCATGCTTACTGCCAGTCAGCTGGGCTTCCCGCTTTGCCATTTACTGGGCCTCGGACAGAGCAAGCCACAAAGCATCCAGCAGAGAACGTAAGAATGGCCACGCTGAGTCAGACCAATGGTCCTTCTGGCCCAGTATCCTGTCCTCCATCAAGCGACGGGTGCCAGATGCTTCAGAGGGAGGGAACAGCACAGGGCATTTTATTGAGTCATCCATCCCCTGTCATCCAGTCCCAGCTTCTAGCAGTCAGAAGCTAGGGACTCCCAGAGCATGGGGTTGTGTCCCTGACCCTCTTGGCTACTAGCCATTGATGGACCCATTAATGTATTCAAGAGATGCTGAGCTAGTGGGCCTGTTGTGGGGGAGCAGTGCCATAGCTCCTGCGCTGAATGGTGCGAGAGAACTGGGTAATTGTGGGCAGATATATGAATGCCGCAGTTTGTTTTAGACCAAGGCATCTTATTTCACTAGGAGGGTGGTGAAACACTGGAATGCGTTACCTAGGGAGGTGGTGGAGTCTCCTTCCTTGGAGGTTTTTAAGGCCCGGCTTGACAAAGCCCTGGCTGGGATGATTTAGCTGGGAATTGGTCCTGCTTTGAGCAGGGGGTTGGACTAGATGACCTCTTGAGGTCCCTTCCAACTCTGATATTCTATGATTCTATCTTTATCTTTCCAGTCTGGTCTCCAGTTGGACACAGTTTAAACCAGGTGTAACCTGTCATGAGCAGCAGAAAGAGCTAGCCTAGAAGAAGTAGAGCAGCATTATCCCCATTGTACATACAGGGAAACAGAGGCACAGGATGGTCAAGGGAGATGGGATGGATCATCTGATGGCTGCCTGTTCTGTTCATTCCCTCTGGGGCACCTGGCATTGGCCATTGTCAGAAGATAGGATACTGGGCTAGATGGATCATTGATCTGACCCAGTACGGCTGTTCTTATGAGACTGCGTGTCCGTATCAGAGCTGAGGTTAGATCCCAAGCCTGCTAACTTGAGGTTTTCCTTCCTTCCCACTAGGCCATGCTCCTTCCCATTAATCCTCACTTGTGAGGATCAAAGAGTAAATTCTCTCTCCTTATCCATCCTGGTCTCCTCTGGCAAGAATACCAGCCAGGGTACCCGTTCGTGCCATTTGTGATGTGGCTGCCTGTCTGAGAAGAACTAGCCCAAGACATTTCATTACCAAACAGCTGGTGGGACATGCTGGGTGTTGATGGCTGGGCAAGCACCAACAGTGACCTTTTAATATAAGATAAAAAGCAGGATGTGTGCAGATGGGATGGCAGTGGAAAGTGCTGTGTGTGTAATGCTTGTGATTTCAGGTCCCGGTTATGTTTGAAGACATCTCAGTCCACTTCTCCAGGGAGGAGTGGGAGAATTTAGAAGAATGGCAGAAGGAGCTTTACAAGAACTTGAGGAAAGACAACTATGACTCTTTGATCTCCCTGGGTAAAGCTCAGATTTCACATATTGATGAGAAGCTGTGAGCTTAGCAAAGCGCCAGGTTGCCAGATTCACTGAGTAAAGCTTAGGCCTCGCGGGAGCCTAGGGTGATGAAAGAAAGATGGGGACAGCCCCTCAGCTAGTTCTTGGTAGTATTTCCCCTTGTCGAGCTGCATAAATAAATAGGAGGTGACAGCTCCTTTGGTTTCTGGTGAATGAACATGTAGGTCCCACAGAGCCTTTGCTAGGTGGTCGGTTCCACCCATCCTCCATTGGAAAGGAGACGGGAACACACACAGCCCTGGCTCTGATACCTTCAACTCGCGTCCTGTTTGTTTATTTGCAGGTTGCATTGATTCGCCCCAGCATGGAAAAAACTGTGCTAGTCTGCGTGCTGGGTTTATGTGCTGCTGCCTTCGTGGAAGGGTGTTTCTTGAATCAAAGCTGCGTAGATTATAAAGGGAACAGTGGTAGCCTCTAGCAGTTTATCATTATGTTCCATATTTATTCCTAATACCATTTAAAACCCTACACACGTGTGCACACACACGCAGGTTTTAGAGGAGATTGTGTTAGGAGTCAAGGGAGCTGCTGTTTTCCCCCCAATATAGTAATTAATGAGCAATAAACCAAAACGATATTTTAATTTCTACTGGCTCAGACACATGCGATTATATAAACCATTCTGTCTTCCCTCTCTGGCCTGGCCTGGCCTTTGAAATGGACTCTGGCCTTTCTGCAGGTTTGTCGATGGACAAAGGGATTATATTGATGTAGTGAAGAAGTCTTCAAATTGCATCATTTCTGGGAACCCCACATCTCTTCTAGGAGTTACAATCCTGCTCCTCCCAGCGCTTTAATGTACCTTCTTGTATGGTCTTAGTCAGAGGTGGGCAAACTTTTTGGAGCAAGGGCCACATCGGGGTTGCGCAACTGTATGGAGGGCTGGGTAGAGAAGGCTGTGCCTCCGCAAACAGCCTGGCCCCCGCCCCCTATCCACCCCCTCCGACTTCCCACCCCCTGACTGCCCCCCTCAGAACCCCTGACCCATCCAACCCCCCCTGCTCCTTGACCCCTGACTGCCCCCTCCTGGGACCCCCCGCGCCTAACTGTCCCCCGGGACCCCACCCCCTGTCCAACCATCCCACTCCCTGTCCCCTGACTGCCCCCCTCAGAACCCCTGACCCATCCAACCCCCCCTGCTCCTTATCCCCTGACCGCCCCCTCCCAGGAACCCTGCCCCAACTGCCCCTGGGACCCCCACCCCCTATCCAACCCCCCCTACTCCCTGTCTCCTGACTGCCCCCACCGAACCCCCAACCCAGCCAACCTCCTTGCTCCCTGTCCCCTGACTGCCCCGACCCCTATCCACACACCTGCCCCCGATAGGCCCCCCGGGACTCCCACGCCTATCCAACTCCCTCCCTCCGCTCCCTGTCCC